GCTTGGAAAATCAATATATTAAGGTAGAAAGAATATTGTGGCGATCTTCCAAGTGAGGCGAAAATATCAGACTTAAAAATCAGCATAAAAAAATGGTCATTTATCTGGGATCAAAGTCCAATGGTTAGGGACATACATTGATACCTTAGCCACGGACTAGGTCTACTACTCATTTTTGGGATATATACATATAAAAAAAAAAAGAAAAAAGATAAAGGAATAAGAAGATAAAGAAAAAGGAGAAAAAAAGAATAAGAAAAGAAAGGAAAGATAAAAGGGAATAATAATAATAAGAATATCGAAGGAGTAAGAATAGGGAATTAGAAGAGACAAAGGAAAATAAAGTTGAACGAGAGGAGAAAGAAAGATCAAAGAGGAATAAGAGAGGTAAGAAGAAAAGAAGGAGAAAGAAAAAAGGAAGAAGTATAAGAAAAACGAAGAACATGTAGAGGATGGAAAAATAAAGCGGAATAAGACGAGAAAAAGAGAAAAGAATAAAGAGAAAGGAAAAAAGAAAGAATGAATTAAAGAAGAAGTTAAAGAAAAAGAAAGATAGTGAAAAAGAAATCAGAATAATAATAACAAAAAAAGCAAAGACTAAAATGAAAAAAAGAGAATCAAAAACAAAGAAGAATAAGAAAAGAAAAGAAAAGAAAAGAAAAAGAAATAACAAAAGAAAAAAGAATAATGAAAGAATAAGGGGAAGAAAAAGAAAGAAGAAACGAAAAAAGAAGAAAAAAGAAATAATGAAAGTAGTACGGGAAATTAAAAAGAAAGAAGAATAACAGAAAAAAGGAAGAATAAGCAGAGAGAGAGAGAGAGAGAGAGAGAGAGAGAGAGAGAGAGAAAGAGAGAGAAGATAAAAACGAATAAGAAAAGTAAAAAGGAAAAGAAAGAAGAAAGGAAAGACAAATGAACAAAAGAGAGAAAACAAGAAAGCAATAAGAGAGAGAAAAAACGAAGAAGAAATAAAAATAGATGAAAAAGAATAGATTAAAAAATTAGAAAAGAAAAAAAGAATATACGGTAGACATATTCGTAAAAGAGAAAGTAAAAAGAAAGTAAGAAGAAAAATGAATGCATCGAGACAAAAGAAAAGAAAAAAGTAGGAATGAGAGAAGAATAAAGAAATAGCAGAGGGAGAAGAAGAAAAATAAAAGAGAGAGTGAGAGAGAGAGAGAGAGAGAGAGGTATCTGTCTTTTGGGTAATTAATGTGCCAATGATTTACTTAGCAGCAATTTGGCGGAATAAAATATTTGTTCGGTTAACAATAAAGTATTTTCCTCTTATTGAACAACATATTTAACATTTTTCTATATTTTTGAGATGAGGTATTGTAATTATTTACATTGTTTGAACTGTTGTCCTCGTCTTTACAACGGCCAAAACGTCGTGAATATGGCAATAAAGATGAGGACAACAGTCCGAACAATGCAAATAATGTTAATAACATATTTAACGTTTTGTTCTACTCGTTTTTGTCATCTTTTGGACAATATCATCTTTCTATTCTCCTTCAGACAACTTCTGTTCCACGTTGTTGTAAAGTATCTGTTTTTCATCGCTGTTGAATTACCTTGGCATCTTGAAATCTTGATCCTTTCAAGTGGGATTTGATTTTTGAAGAGAAAAAAGTCTCAAGGGATGAGATCAGGGGAATATGGTGGTTGTTAGACCTAAGGAAACAGTTGCACAAGCCATGATCACTGATGGAATCCCTGTGGTGTGGTGAGACGACGGCACTGTATACACTTTCCTTCAAAACACTGAAGAAGAAAACTGAGCGAAAACGTCATAATTTAGTATGCATGCACGACAGAGTTCAGCATCAATCTGTGCCAAGCGTCTTCACTCTGCATAACTTAGCTTCGTTATAATAGCAAAAGTACCGACACTTTTTGATCAGATCTGGTAGAAATGAGTCACTATGCAGTGTTGATTCCTATGTCCTTACACTACACACACACACACACACACACACACACACACACACACACACACACACACACACACACACACACACACATATATATATATAATTGGATATTTAAGTTAACACTCAGCGTCTGTTTCATGTTTAACGCAATCTTAAGAACTTAACATTGCGTTTAAGCATGAAACACACTGTCACCGCTGTGTGTTGACTTCAATGCCCACTTTTATATTTACATACGTTCTATCCTTGATATTCAGCACTTTAACCCATAAATATAGCATACCTATTTTATATAGCATATATTTTATCGTATATATATATATATATATATATATATTATAATGAATCATTCATACAAAAAAGTAGATTAGTAAAGTTAATGATATAAAATGGCGAAATCTCTTCGCAAACAAAATTTTAAAAGTCCATTAACCTACAAATCACTCGATGAATGTTATGATCCTTGTTTCTAAAATTATAAACTGTCTAAGGTCTTTCGCAAGTACTTTCAACTGTACATTCAGTCATCCTCATATATGGAAATTATTTTGTTTTTGGTAAAATTCAGGTAGCATCCGAGACGAAAAAATTAAATGCGAATCGAAATATATGTATATTTTTTAAATGTGTTTTTGTTAACGGATACAAACTTTTGGAGTGTGCAGTCGCAACGCTAAGGTTGAATTTTTTTGAAAATTTAAGAGAGTGGCAATTTGAGAATTTTTTTGTAGGATGCGATGGATAAATTGTCGTCTAAATTAGGCTTTTGCGTAATTTAGACGACAATTTAACATAACAGACATCTCATTTTAATAGATATACCAAAATTACAGAAAAATATCTTGAAATAGTAAAGAATAAATTTATTCAATAACATTCAATTGGCTTCAATTACGGCCTCCAGACGACTTCAGAATCCCCTGCAACTCTGGACTACCTCTTTGTTTAAGTTGGTGAATGAAGCGATAATCCTTGCCTTCAGTTCATCTTTGGTGCTCCAAGGAATTTTGTTGGTCTCTCACTCAACTGTGCCCCAAACTTAATAATTAAGGGGGTTGCAGTCTGGGGAATTAGGTGGCCAGATATAAGGGATGATGTGGGGGCAGAAATTGTCTGTCAGTCATGCTTGTTTGGCATGGTGCAGAGTCCTGTTGTCAGACATAGGGTATTCCAGTAGCCACCCTCTTGACCCATTGCAGCACTACCTCCTCAACGCATTTAATGTAGGCCTTCGTGTTGTGTCTGAGACCCTTACCAACAAATTCAGGAGTTCTTTTCTTATCAGAACGACCAGAGTCAGTTTTCCGAGCTGCCTTCCCTTCGTAATCACAATTAGACTCATCCAACTCTTGCCGAATCCACTGCACTGTCCACAGATTGATGTCTAAACACACTGAAATGTTCGTATTGCAGTTTTCGGTGCCAATGTCGTGCGGTACAGTATGCCGTTTCCATATTTCTGGTGGAATGAATTGCGTCATTGTGCTCATTTTCTCACAGACGGTGCCCAACTGACCCTACTATACTGTGCAGTCGACAAAATAAAAAAATAAACAACGCGCATGCGCGAAATTAAAAAAAAAATAAAATGGCGACACTTTATCCATCGCACTCTTGGTAGAAAGTGAGAGAGAATATATATATATATATATATATATATATATATATATATATATATATATATACATATATATATACATATATATATATGTGTGTGTGTGTGTGAAAAATATTTCAGAGTTTATCTATAGAAAAAGACAATATTTATAAATGTAAAAGACAATAGGAAAATGATGTCAACACAACAATAAAAACAATATTTCCACACGTGACATTAATTGACGTAATTTTCAGTTGACAATATGAATATAATAGCGTTCTCTAAATTCTTCCAGTTGCTGAGGACATTTTGTTTTGTTATTATTAGTTACTTTGTTTTAATAAATTCATTTCGTTTTTGCCTTGAAAAAGTCCACATTGGACGAAACGCGTCGGCTAATATTACAGTTTTCCTATTGTCTTTTACACACATACACACACACACATATATATATATATATATATATATATATATATATATATATATATGTGTGTGTGTGTGTAAGAAAAAATCCTGTCTTTATATGAGAAGTGAAAAGTATGAAATCTATGACTGCAAAAATAGTGGTGGTGGAGGTTGGTTTAAAAGCCGACTTGTGAAAGAACGGTGATGAACACCCCCCCACCCCACTCAAAAACCAGTTGTTCAAGCATGAAGACGAATAATGATGTCTTAGTGACTTTGGTGACTAAGACGTCATTATTATAACAGTGAAAAGAAGAAGAAGAAGTAGATTTAAACAGGACTGGGTTATAAGCAGCGAAGTGAATTACATTGGAAATCTTTTATGTACGTATCTTGTGGGAACATTGTTATTATTATAAAGAGAAATAAAATATAAAATAATAATAATAATGAAAATTATAAATAAAATAAAATAAAATTTAAACTATCTTCTGATTTTTTGTTTTCCAGTGAATTTTGATCTTCAAAAATTTAAATGCATCTTTTGTCTTCTTACTTTCTGTTCTTTTATTGTTCTCGCTCCTTAATAATATCTTTCTTTTTCTTATATTCTTTCACACTCAGTAACCCCTCTGCGATTTAGTGGCTTTGTTGCCTTGCTTGTTGTAAAAAGATTAAAAAATCCTGTCTATTCATATGAGAAGAGAAAAGTATGTAATATATGAATAAATAAGAAGTAGAAGAAGAAGTAGAAGAAGAAGAAGAAGAAACCAATACAGAATGAAAGAAGAAAAGGAAATGAATGTAAAATATATTAATAAGAGTTGAAATCAAGAAAATGACTATGTGTCTAAAGAAAGACGAAAAATCAATGATAAAAATCTATAAGACGAACTTAGACACATGATAATTTGCTCACCACAAATATAAACAAATAAAGACCATTCTTCGAAGAACTGGTTCCTTAATAATATACAGCATTCCCGGCAGTTTGCATTGCATAATGGCTAACTTTTGGGCTCGTTGACCGCTACTTGTTGGTGTACTATACTCAAGCAATGTGCTCAACGACAGCAACTCCACGACTCCTCCTTTACCGACAACTGACGAGACATCCAATTGGTCAGTTTCACTTGCATCAAGAGCGGGAACGTGTTTTCGCCTATCAGGACAAGACACTCCGACGGCTCGTCCATTTCGAACTTTATTCTCCCTTCTCTTTATTTTCTCATTTTCAACAACGTGCGCAGATCCCTGTCTATCTCGCTCAGTATGCGCACAGTTTAACCCCACCTTCATCTCCTCCATTTTTTCTTCCCCGTCAAAGTTTTCTTGCTCAGCAAAAGAATCGCGATTCTTTTCTGATTTCGTGTTTCCAACGACTTCTGTAAACGTGTCCCCCAACTCCTTTGCTTCGTTTCGGGCCAGCTGCTCTGATTCCGTGTTTTTTATCATTTGACCAGAAACGGAACAATCAACACTCCCCATTTCTGTTTCCTCTGTTTTCATGTCTGGGTCGCCGGATGTTTTCTGGGATTCTTCTCCGTCTTCCGGATCAAAATGTCGAAAGAGATAGGCCACATAACTGTAGTCGACGTCGTTCACGTTCGCTGCCTTTTTTATCAGTCTTTTGGCTTCTGACCACCTGTTTTTAGCAATTAGCCAACGGATGGACTCGTCCAAGGTCCTGAAAGATGAAATGAAAAAGTTTCTCATCAACATCAGTTTCCATATAAGTTAACTTACAGAAAATGAACCACACATGCCACAGTGAGATTAGAATTTATATTCAATTAGTTTATCTTTACTTTTGCTCTGGGCCACAAAACTATGGTTACCATTAAAGATAGAACTCTACTATTGTAGGTATCTGTAAGACTTGCTTACCAATAATCGCTTTGTAGCAGGCGCCTTTTGAGGATACTTACGAAGCCGGATTTAGTCCGTCAAAATAATAAGCCAGTCGGTGAGATTTGAACCTACCCACCTTACTATAAAGATAGGCGTTATTCATGAATATTTACTAAACCTAGCTAATTTATGTCGAAATATTTTTTAGATGTAGTATTATTATTATTATTATATGGATTTATAGATATTGAAGTGGTTAAATCAAATAATTATATATTAGCAACCGTATATATGTGCGTTAGTGTGCATGCACAGAAATGAGCATAAATATTATTTCAATTTAATTTAAGGTGTAAACAAAAAAGTGCTCAATGTGGTTAGACAGAGCTAAGAAGTATATATTAATAAATATACATATTGATGCATGTTTCATTAAATAATATAGACAATTTTTGTCTATTTATTTCATGTAAATTCTTTTCATATCGTCTGATAATCTTAATAACGTCATTAAAAGAAGAAAGAAAATCACCATATTGATACATGTTTTTTGATCCTATCTAAGCTTTCGGCTTACATAAGTCATTATCAAAGATGACAATTACATTACAATATATTAAACAATACACGGACAAAACAATAATGATAGTTTGTGTCTGTTTACATAGGAGATTTCCAAGCAACGACAAACTCGTGCATACAAGACGCTGGAAGCGAAAATCGCACAGCAGCTCATGACGTCGCACATGACCACTCGAGAGTGAAAACGAGAAGTATTAAGTATAGAAAGTTTACAAATTCAAGTACCCTTTGGGAGATTGTATCTCCAACGGATTAAATAATATTTATGCAGGTCACACCACAAACTCGCTTTTACGACGCTTGACACTACATTTGAATGATTTTTAGGCATTCTGTCCTTAAATTCACGTATGAAGTCAATGCTAATAGTTTGTCGAATTTACATAAAATAAATAGACAAAACTTGTTTATATTATTTAATGAAACATGCATCAATGAAAAAATGCTGCATAAATACACACAATTGAAATATACATATATCTACATTTGAAGTGCAACTTAAGTTGCGTTGTTCTACCAACTCATCAGCCACGAATTATTACTTTTGATTGAAAAATATATATACTGAGTCTCATAGGAGGAACGCTAAATTAAACGCAGATTCACAGCTCAAATTTAAAATAAGCTAAATATAGTATTGTAGAATACATACAGAAAATATGGTGTAAGTAAAGCTTAAAGTTTAAAAGAGTAACTCCGGGTAACTCGTTAAGTAATAATAAAAGTTAAATAAAATAATAAAAGAAGGGAACGCGGTCTGAGAGCAATTTAATCCTGTAGATTAAATAAAAGGTTCTGTTGAAAATTTCGAGAGGCTTATCGAATAATATAAAGAATTGCAGCATTTACAACTTGTAGTATATGATTCAGGCCAACAAATACCTGGTATCCGAATCGAATTTAATATTAATTTCATATTGTCATCTTCATTTACCTGTAAACGGAAATACTACGTTCTGAAGATGACAATTTGAAATTGTCGAAAGTACTCGTCCCAGGATCATCGATTCTATCCGACAACACTTCAAATATAAGGATCGTGTTGTTCAAGGAATTGATAGTAATTTAATGTCTCATTAAGTCTTGTTAGCGAAGTGATTTCGTCATTAATCATATTAACATTGCTAATTAATTCTTTGTATAATAATGTATTTAAATAGGAATCCTGACCATTTATATATTTCTGTCATTGAGAAGAGTTATATATGGCTTTACGATAAAACTTTAAAGGTTTGGATGCCGAGAAATATTTGAATGCAGTTTCTGCATCTACTTTGCAACGGAATATCTCCTGGTTTAAGAAATTGCCAAGATCAGGGAAATATAGTGGATGTATTAAAGTCTCATATTCCATGTCGGTCAGCTTCTGCAGTGTCATCCTGCCGAGCATTGTCAAGAAGCAGAATTGGACTGAGACGATTAACCAGTACCTGTTGCATATTGTTTAACAGAATGTGCATTTCATCCAGTTTCTGGTTGTAAACTTCTTCAGTGATACTCTGGTTGAATTCCAGAAAGCTATAAGGGATAGTGCCAATAGTGGATCAGAAGACAGTCACCATAATTTCTGTTGTTGCAACTTTTGGTGTTCAAGAAGAGGGTATATAATGTTAAATTCTGAAAGAGAGTCATATAGAATTAACACAGAGCAGACTTTAAAGATTAAGAATGAGTAATATATTTTTGTGCAGCTATTAAGTCGGTCTTACTTTACGGCTCAGAAACCTGGCGGGTAACCAATACCAACACCCAGGAACTTCAGACATTTACTAACCGATATCTCAGGAACATCCTCAGTATCAGGTGACCGAAAGTCGTCTCCAACGACCAACTGTGGGACAGGACTAGACTAGCCCCAATCGAGATTGACATCAAGAAACGGAAATGGAAATGGATCGGCCACACACTCCGCAAGCCTGCTTCTAGAGTAATCAGACAGGCCCTTGACTGGAATCCACAAGGGAAGTCGTTTCCAACGACCAACTGTGGGACAGGACTAGACAAGCCCCAATCGAGATTGACACCAAGAAACGGAAATGAGGATGAATTGGCCAGACACTCCGCAAGCCCGCTTCTACTGTTATCAGAAAGGCCCTTGGCTAGAATCCACAATGAAAGCGAAAAATGGGTCGACCAAAACAGACTTGGCGCAGAAGTGTCGCCTTTTACACGTATTGAAAGAGTAATTTTTAAAAAATATCAATCTATGGCTAACATTAATTCTAAATGTTACTTTCGTTGATTCCTCTCTTTCCTTTTTTGACGTGTCTGCTGCGTCTTCGTGTTGTTTCTCACTTTTCCTCCTTTTCTTTTTCTTACTGTTTTTCCTAATTGGAATTATATTCTCTTCTTTCTCTTTCTCTGCGTTTTTAATCTCATTCTTTCTCCGTAACTTTCTAGCATTTCTCTTACATTTCTCTATCACTTTCTCGTTCTGACTACCATCTATTTTTACAGAGATAAAGAAAAAGAGAATACAGGAATCCATGATAGATTTATGGCAGCTGATCACAATAATTACCTACAGTCTGTTGTTAACTGGAGCAAGGAATAGCTTGTTAATGCTAACGCCTCCAAAAATAAACCGATCTCTTTTAATTGTCCGAGACAACCATTTTTGCCTTTCATCACGATGGCTGATATTAACCTCCAGGAGAGTGACTCAGACTTATCGAACTAACATTTTCTGCTGACATGAAATGAATTGACATCAAGAAACGGAAATGGAGATGGATCGGCCATACAAAAGCAAGCCTAGTGTCACCAGGCAGTCTTTTGACTGGAATCTACAAGGGAAGTGAAAACTGGGTCGACCAAAACTGACTTGGCGCAAAAGCGTTGACGCAGAGGTGAAGGCAGCCGACACGAGCTCGCGAGGATCGCCTAGTATCGCGTCCATTTTAGAGGTGTTGTTGCGGCCCTATGTTCCCCAAGAAATCAAGAGGCATAAAAAAATGAAAGGTTTATTCTAAAATTAGACATTATTTTCAGAGCAACCTAATATATCTGATGATACTCACTGGGTGGTATACACATTTCCTAAATTCCTTTGTATGATCAACTTACCAGATTTCGATGAAAGAACAAATGAAGAACAGATTGAAGATTGCGTGTAGAACTCTCCAGTTGAAATTGCGAAAGACATACGCTACAGGAGCCATGAGGATGACGCCAAAGACCCACATGACACCTCCGAGCAACAGGACATGGGTTCGATTCTCTGTGGGGAAGAGCTCAGCAATCATTATAGTACCAGGCACGTTCATACCCTGAAGTAGATTTAGAAGTGTAGTGAGTAGCAGAAGTCTGTGAATGCTTATGAAAAAGTACGTTTTTATGATTACAACGCCATTGTTATGTGGAAAGATATGTTTATAGGGGTGAAATATGAAGATATGTTTATAGCGGTGAAATATGAAAATATGTTTATAGAGGAGAAACAGTCTTCTTATAGGATTATAGCAGCTAAACAACATTTTATATGTTTATAGTATGATATATTTTTATAAGCTTCTAGAAGTGAAACATTTCCGATATTTATAGAAGTGAGACAACATTTAATCTTTATAGAAGTGAAATTTTTAAACATTTCATCTTTATAGAAATGATATTTCATATTTATAGAGGCGGAACAACTTTTTATATTTATAATGTGAAACATCTTTTTATATGCTTCTAGAAGTGAAACAACTTTTCATGTTTACAGAGGCAAAACAACATATATATCTTTCCGGAAAATAAACAATTTTTTGAATGTTTATAGATATTATTTTTTACTGAAACTTAAAGAAAGGAAAGATTAAAACATTTAATAATAAAGAAAATATTCAAATATCATTAGTAGCATTTTCGATTAACACTTCAAATTATAGCCTTATGCCAGACTACAGTAAACTTAATATATATATATATATATATATATATATATATATATATATATATATATATATATATATATATATATATATAGATAGATAAATAGATATATATATATATATATATTATTTACAAATTGGGAAAACGTTCATGAAAGTATAATGTTTCGAAAATACAATGTTTTTTCAATTCTCGATAATTTATAACTCTGTTGGGATCATATAGCCCAATTTGTAACACACACACACACACACACACACACCATATTCAGGTATGTGTTGTTGAAATCTAAGGAACTTTTCCGTTTGATGACCTTTTTTTTTTCATTTTTTACTTGCTTTCTCGCAAGTTTATTTTTTTAATATTTGGGTCCAAGTTGCTGAAATTTCACAGATCCCAATATCTATTTACCAGTAGTCAAAATACCTGAATGATATTACTAATCGTAGTACCTCGTCGTTTTTAATGAAACCTGTATAAACGATATATATATATATATATATATATATATATCGTTTATACAGCTTTATATATATATATATATATATATATATATATATATATATATATATATATATATATATATATATATTATAGTAAAAAAAGAAAGAACAGTAAGATATATAATCCGGTGTTCTTATTGATATTTTTATTTTTACAAAACAGTGCTCAATGTAAATTTAAAGAGCATAAATATTATAAATTAACTGATTTGAAAATATGGTTCCATTGCTAAACAGGAATGACAATGTTTCAAAAACAGAAACTAAAAACTTCAAATTCAATTATATAATTAAATTAAAAGCACCAGTTTTGTTTCATTTTCAAGCGAATTTTGGAAAAACTTATTTTGAAATTTACTGAGTTTTAAAAGCACATACATTAATAATATTTGTTTCCAAGGATACAAACAAATCCAATCATTTAGACAGGGTCGGTAGCGTGTTTATTTTTTTTCACAACTATTGTATCAAATATGAGTTACTTTCGAAAATAGGTTAAGTCTAGGTAGGGCAGGGGCGCATTTTTCAACGAATTTTGACATCCGTTCAACGCATGTCGTCTGTTTTTTTTTTGTTTTTTTTTTATATCAACGACAAAAAGTTTTTCGGCATTTTTATCCGTTAAATTTGTACCTGTATACATAAAGATTCTTTCTAAAAGGGGTGTTTGGATTACAATACGTTGTATTAAACTACAATTTTACAATATTATTTTTACTTTTACTTACTAATAGACTATATTTCATTTTAAAACAAATAAATGTAATAGAATTACTTAAATTATTTTAAAATTATTATTAAATATCAAATATAAGTATGTATATTACAACTCTTTTTTAAAAAATATTATTTAAGGAAAATTTTTAACAATGTCGTCAAAGAATAGCTATTTCATTTCTTTGATTCAGTAAATTTTCATTTTTCATAAACCTAGTAATATATAGTTTCTCATGTATGCACAAAGGACATGGGTCATCAATAGATGAGATATTGCACTGGTATACTAATGATTCCGTGCGCCATTTATTTTTTAGAGGACATTTATTAGGATTTCTGCAGTTACATAATTTTTGTTTATCTTCATATCTTTTTATTTTTATACTGTCTAAATTTCTTTGGTTTTGGTCTAAGTGTTTATTCAAGATATTAGCATGGTGTTTCTTAATTATTTTCTCTATGTTTTCAGTACAGCTGTAACTTAATTTTAGGGTATTTTTTATTGAAAATAGTACTGAGTTTACTATCTTTAAGAAAATGTTTAACGATTAACGCAAGGAATTTTTGTGCTAATTTATTCTTTACCATTTGGTTGCATGGGGGTGTATACGAAATTATTTTTCTGCTTCTGTCTTTTCTATGCTTTCGATTTTCATTTTTTATGTAAGTTAGTTTTGGGCTTTTGTAGCCAATATCTTTTAGAGCTTAATTATAGAAATTAATATGTTGATAGAATATCTTCTTATTTGCTGAATTTGTACTTATTCTTTTCTCGATAGATAAAGGTATATGTTTAATTATAAATGGAGAATGATTAGATTGATGAAGAGTGATCGCCGGTGGGAAATTCATTATTATGTCAGCAAACGAGTAGTCATTTTTTTTACACTCCACTCAGGTTAACTTTGTAGAAGTCCCAGGAGCCACCCGAAGTAGAGGGTTACGTTAAGAGGTAATTTGTGCAGGTAGATGAGGAAGATAACGGTTAATTCTAGCCTTGAACATGTTAAGATTGTAGTGATCGGGGAAACATCACCTTGGGAGTCGGTTCAACAGAGCAGTGGTTCGCGGTAAGAAGCTGTTTGATTGTAACTTACTTCTCACCGATAGAATACGAAATGAATGTGGGTGGTTTGCTACAATGGCGTGTCATTGCCATGAAGGTTTAAACTAGCGGAACCAAGGAATGCAGCTCGTCCGAGCACTTTCCGCGGGGAGTAGCGATGGAGCAGTGAGAAACTGTTGTGGACTCAGAATAGGTCCGAAAGAAAACTCCAACTCAGCAATTTACAAAAGTGTTGCACGTCCGACTGACGGCAAAGTACAGTAGTCAACTCGTCAACTGCAGACAGCGATATTTAGGGTTACATTTACATGTGGCACAAGGCCGGTTTAACGTGGGATCTCCGGCCCAAAATAATCCCTCTTTGAACCCGCATAAACGGGTTCAGAGGCAGTCAACCTTCCCGAACGAGACTGCCCTTCGGCAGAGTGTTCGACTGTTTAGCTGGAACAGGTCAACTGTAGACAGCTCTCTTGAGAGGCATACTCTCCCCGTATATATAGTAATAGGACGAGTCCATTTAGTCCATAAAGGTAGGTCCCATAACAGAAACTTTCCACATGTCGCCTGTAGGAGAAAGGTCGGAAGATGCAGAATAATTCGTCACCAACAAGGTCTCGGAGACACTTTTGGACTCTATGAAGACTGGAGGGTGAGGTCTGAGCAGCTCCTGCTCAAATATGACAATACTCCGTTTCTGGCCTGGTCTGGCTCTTGTAAAGGTAGAGGATAATATGAGATGTCAGGTAATTACTGGAGCGGCACAGGGAGCCGACCATTTTACTTGTATCTTTCACTCTCACAATGGATCGTATGTACGAGTTTCACTTGTGGTCGGGTGTGAATTTGAGGCCCAATAATCTTTCAAAACACGGTGCCTCCCCGAGGGGACATCCATTCATCGTGACTAGCAGTAGTTTGTGGTTTGATCAGCGATGTTGGAATGTAATTAGTTTGGTTTTCGAGACATTGAATGTAACCAGTCAGTTTTACCCCATTGGGTAGTTTGTGTTAGATAGGAAGAGAGATCAATTACCAATCTCTAACCATCAAGAGTTTTAGAGGTGCGCCCGTATATAGTCGTATCATCGGCAGAGATGTTTACAACTGATCTGATTAAATTCTTCAGTAGATCATTTATGCAAATCAAAAAGAGGGTTGGTCTAAGGAGTGACCCCTAGGGTACGCCTGTGTTGACCGCTAGGGCTTCGGAGGACTGGCCATTAATAACTACCTTCAGGAAGCTACCTGTTAGAAAGGATTTTATGATCGTGAAGACCCTTACAGTGAATCCATTGCTGGAGAGCTTGCGTAGTAAAACCTTTGTGCCACACTTTGTCAAAGGCATTTGTGACATCTAATGCTATGGTCCTCGAGGTGTGCTTTTCGTAAAAAACCTCAATAATTCTGTGAGAGATGATAATTAGGACATCGGTAGTGGATCTAGGCATTCGAAACCCGTACTGCTCGTGGCTGAAGAGGTTGTCCTTTTCTAGGTGCCTGACGACCTTGGTGATTATGGCCTCAAAAAGCTTACTGATGATACTGAGGAGACTTGTGGGTCTGTACTGGGAAGGGAAAGATCACATCCCCACATTCTTGAAAACCGGGTATAGGCTTTACACCGTCCACGGGCTTGGAAAGGATTTCTCTTTCAAGGAGCGGTTGAATAACTTTGCTAGGATTGGGGAGAATTCCAGATTGATATTCTTAAGGGAAACTACTGAAATTTTGTCTGGCCAGTGGTTTTCAAAGCTTTTGATAAGTCTCGAGACTTGTGCTGTAATGATAATATTATTAAGATTGTGCTCAGTGAGACGTAGGAAGTTGGGGAGGGGATGCTCTCTGTCTTCTAACGTTGAATTTGAGGCAAAGATCGAGACGAATCGATTCTCATTGTCTATCAAAGAATATATGACCTAGGGGCCATTTATAATTTGGGCACAACGGTTTTACCTCTGTTCATGACTTTGGTTGGTGATCTTCCAGAATTCGTGGGATACAATTTGGACACTTTGGCCTGGACAGCTTGTGCGTAACTGCACTTGGCGTTTACTAGAACTTTTTGTTGCAGCGATTACGGGAAGTTCTGAATATGGTAAGGATCAAACTACATCACTTCTTGCGATAGATACTGAATCTATCTATCTATCTATCTATCTATCTATCTATCTATCTTTTGAATTTCTGGGATGTGGAATTATCATTCTTTGCATTATTTACTCTCAGACTAATGTCATCATTTTTGTTTTATTATCAAACTGTTTCGGTCGTTGTACCTTTTGGCCTTCATCAAGTGCTTGTTGGCCCGAATAACCATCAGGTAATTTTGAACTGAATCTTTTATTTAATCTATAGAGGTGTAGATTGTTCCATTGTCCATGTCTAGAGATGTCTTATTCTTATTTAGTAATGCTCAAACCTGTTTCCATTGAGTAATACGCACTACCTGTCTCAGGGATTGAACTCACAGTTACAATGTCATCAAATTCACGAATCAACGCTTTAATCCACTAGGCTATTCCTTCAGTGGACGCAGAGCAATCAGTAAGTATAACTATTGATAGAGTTTAGTAGTGTTTAGGATTTTCAGAACGTTAGCACCGATTATGTCGGTGGAGTAATGGGTAGCGGCTCGTGTTGAGGAATCGGAGAGCCGAGTTCGAATTCCAGTCGAATCTATTACATTCACTTACGTTTTAATACCCTTGGGAAAGGTATGAATCCGCTTCTTCTATAGGTAAATAGCAGGATAGAGTGGGTTCTGTAGCCTTGGATGGGAACTGGTCCACCACAGAAAGAAATGCAAACTACTGCGGGAAAAAATCTGCCTCGTCAGTCAAGTATCGAAAGATACATGATCGCCCACGCATGTAACACGCATGGCATATAACTGATGAATGTCTTTGGTTCTTTAAAGTAATACAATCAAATTCCTCAAAATACTACTACTATGCCTCTTGATGCCTTCACCTCTGCGTCAACACTTTTGCGCCAAGTCTATTTTGGTCAACCCACTTTTCGTTTTCCCTTGTGGATTCCAGTCAAGCGTCTGCCTGGTGACACTAGAAGCAGGCTTGCGGTGTGTGTGGCCGATCCATCTCTATTTCCGTTTCTTGATGTCAATCTCAATTGGTCCTTGTCTGGTCTTGTCCCACAGTTGGTCGTTGAAGACAACTTCCGGCCACCTGATATTGAGGATGTTCCTTAGACATCGGTTGGTAAATGTTTGAAGTTCGTGGATGTTGGTCTTGGTTACCTGCCAGGTTTCTGAGCCGTAAAGTATGACCGACTTGACGTTGGTGTTGAAGATCCTGATCTTGTTGTAAAGTGAGAGGTCTGTTGATCTCCATATTGGTCGCAGAGTGTTGAAAGCTTGTCGGGCTTTGTTGATTCGGCACTTGATTCCTAAAAATAAGAATGTGCAAATATGGCTCTGTAGAATCTAAAATAAGGAGAAATTCATGGCGCTGATTATGCAGACTTTACTCACGAGAAGTGGTTTTGAAGATTGATAATTTAATCATTGATCTACGAAGGTTTCTCGTATTGTGCGTGAAGTTTTGATCAGAGATAAATTATTTAAAGAAAAACAAATACACGGTGTTCTTCACCATAAACTCATGGGTGTATCTCTATGACGCGCATAGATTTGATAATAACGGTGTGCTTGACGCAAAAAAAGACTCTTCAGAGAGTGACTGAAGCATTAAACAATTTCGGTTAAAATTTGACAACTCACCGGCTGCAAAAGGCCACACAGGAATCGGCAGGCCAAGAAGAATCCGTAATTTGGGGAAAAAATGGCTGTCAGATTGACAATGAATGTGCCGATGCGCGAGGCGACGTAAACGGGCTTCCGTCCGTGTTTATCGGCAAGCGATGGGAAAAGGGCGGCACCAATCATCATCCCCACATGGAAAACCGTAGTAACTAGATTACCCAGTTCTTCTTTGTTGCACACCAAATCCCACTAGTAAGAAAAGAAGCAGATGCATGATTCCTCATAAAGAAGTGGAAAGAAAAAGATCATTTACATATTTAACATATAATTATAACATATACAGTGTGCGATGGATAAATTGTCGTCCAAATAATGCAAAAACGAAAATAATGCTGACATCTCATTTTAACAGATACATTTACCAAAATTGCACAGAAATATCTTGAAATACTAAAGAGTAAATTTATTCAATAAAATTGCCATTGGCTCCAACCACAGCCTTCAGACGACTTCGGAATCTCCGGCAACTCTTCGGAAAGAAGAGTTGCATGAGATTCCGAAGTCGTCTGAAGGTGAATGCTTCCATAATCTTTTCCTTCAGTTTATCTTTGGCGTTACAAGGAGTTTAGTTGGCCTATCGTTCAACTGCGCCTCACACATAATAATAAAGGGGGTCGCAGTCTGGGAAGTTAGGGGGCCACATGATATGGTGGCAGAAATTGTCTGACAGCCAAGACTGGGTTTTCCTGGTTATTTGGCATGACACAGAGTCCTGTTGCCAGACATAGGATTTTCGATTTTTAGTTCCAACGATTCAAATCTTTACTATTCGCATCATGTTGAATCACCCTAATTTCTTCCATGTTCAGCACTATTCGCATCATGTCGAATCACCCTAATTCCATCCGTGTTCAGCACTATTCGCATCATGTCGAATCACCCTAATTTCTTCCGTGTTTGGCACTAGTCGCATCGTGTCGAATCACCCTAATTCCTTCCGTGTTTGGCACTAGTTGCATCGTGTCGAATCACCCTAATTTCTACTGTGTTCGGCACTATTCGCATCATGTCGAATCACCCCTAACACCTTCCGTGTTCAGCACTATTCGCAACGTGTCGAATCACCCTAATTCCTTCCGTGTTCAGCACTATTCGCATCATGTCGAATCACCCTAATTCCTTCATGTTCATCACTATTCGCATCATATCGAATCACCCTAATTCCTTCTGTGTTCAGCACTATTCGCATCATATCGAATCACCCTAATTCCTTCATGTTCAGCACTATTCGCATCATGTCGAATCACCCTAATTTCTTCCGTGTTCGGCACTTGTGGCATCGTGTCGAATCACACTAATTTCTTCCGTGTTCAGCACTAGTCGCATCGTGTCGAATCACCCTCATTCCTTCCGTGCTCAGCACTATTCGTATCATGTCGAATCACCCTAATCCCTTCCGTGTTCAGCACTATCGAATCACCCTAATTTCTTCCGTGTTCAGCACTAGTCGAATCGTGTCGAATCACCCTAATTCCTTCCGTGTTTGGCACTAGTCGCATCGTGTCGAATCACCCTCATTCCTTCCGTGCTCAGCACTATTCGCATCATGTCGAATCACCCTAATCCCTTCCGTGTTCAGCACTATTCGCATCATATCGAATCACCCTAATTCCTTCCGTGTTCAGCACTAGTCGCAACGTGTCGAATCACCCTAACTCCTTCCGTGTTCAGCACTATTCGCATCGTGTCGAATCACCCTAATTCCTTCTGTGTTCGGCACTATTCGCATCGTGTCGAATCACCATAATTCCTTCCGTGTTCATCACTATTCGCATCATGTCGAATCACCCTAATTCCTTCATGTTAATCACTATTCGCATCATATCGAATCACCCTAATTCCTTCCGTGTTCAGCACTATTCGCATCATGTCGAATCATCCTAATTCCTTCCGTGTTCAGCACTGTTCGCATCATGTCGAATCACCCTAATTTCTTCCGTGTTCAGCACTATTCGCATCTCGTCGTATCGCTCTAATTTCGTCCCTGTTTCCAATGTAGAAGAAAGGAGAAAGCTCCATTTTGACAGTCTGCTTCAAGCCAAGAGTCAATCGATATTTAGCCTCCTTATTTTCGTAATCTTCACTTTCTGTAATTTTTCGAGTTTTGTATTGGGTAAACTTTAATATAAAAACCATACCACTAGCATTTATTTTGTTATGATATTGGCGATGAGGCAGAATGCAGGAAGAATTGTTTTCATGCCTCACCCAAGGGAATTAACGCAAAAATGAACGTAAAGAACTAATCGTAATTGGGATTCAGTTCGCTGATTACGTTTTTCTATGTTGATGACAATTATGACCCCAACATCCGCCCCTCACACCAACATGTTTACTCCTCCACATGTTTCACTGATCATATTTTACTTAAAGGTTTCAAATTTCCGAAAGTCTATGATATATATATATATATATATATATATATATATATATATATATATATATATATATATATATATAAGTTTTTTTGTAGTACAAAATTTGATGATAGCTAGGAATAAGCAAAATTTATATGGCATTTTTAAAAAGCTAAAAAAACAACCGGTTTCGTCCCAGCCTTATCAAGTTATAAAGAAGCGTGTAAATTTAATTAATGATAACGAATGAAAAAAAAAATTCAAGAAAGCTAGAGTCCAATAACATTCAGACCCAGTAAGCATTCCCTTTGTTTATAGAGGGAAGGCTCACGGGATCTGATATACAAGGACTCTAAAACTCTGAGGTGATATGAGGAGTGGGGCCGAGATAAAATCGAGAAACGGTCACCACTAAAATCAAAAACACAATACCTGCTATTTATTAGATGCTCTGCAATAAAAGAGCCGGAAGTGTTGACTTTTTCTGACATCCGGATTCAAAATCCTGGGGGGTAACTGTTGTTTTATTCTCAGATCCAAACGTTGGGACGTCCTCCCTATGTAGTCGAGTCCACAACTACACTTATATTTATAGATCACTGAATTAACATGATGATGATATATATATATATATATATATATATATATATATATATATATATATTTGTGTGTTTTAGGCAGCATCTTTTCATTCATACACGTTTCGTTAAATAATATAGACAAGTGTTGTCTATTTATTTTATGTAAATTTTTTTCATAACGACTGATAAGTTTAATAACATTATCGTTGAACGAAGAAAGAAATTCACAATATTGATCCATATTTTTTTTAATACAATCTAAGCTTTCGGCTTACATAAGCCATTATCAAATATGTCAATTACAACATATTAAGCAATATACGGGCAAGACAGTGATGATAGTCTGTCATTGTTTACATAGATGATTTCTAAGCAACGATAAACACGTGCATATAAGACGCTAGAAGCGAAAATCGCACCGCATCTCATGACGTCACACATGACCACACGAGAGTGAATTGGAGAAGTATGA